GCAATTGGAAACCCTAGAGGAATTGGGATTGGGATTTAGAATGCGATTGATGTTGGAGAAGTGGGCGAATCGAATTCGAGCTGTCTTAGAACTGGAGTTCGATTTCGAATCCTACTGTTTTGTTTGACAATTTTCTGAGGGTCGCGAGATTATTCTTTCTTTATTTGCTTATTTTAATTAAAGGCCTATTTAGATATTAGACTCTTTCGCCTTTCGTGTTTCGAAATAATTCCTCTAATCATGGATTTTGCTATTAGCTCCCTCAATTCCTAGGCTATTGTAAAATTATCCCTCGAATCCTATAAATTGCTATAAGGTTCCCCACTTTTTTATTATTATAGAATTAGACCCTCCAATCATGTATATTGTAAAATTATTATAGAATTTTATAGAATAGAAACAATATTTGGAGGGCTTAATTTGAAACGGATTATGAGAATTGGATGAGCTAATATTCCACAACAATTGATTGTACTTGGTAATTCCTGTAATCGCTACTTCTACTTTGATTAGAGGGATTGATTTTATAATGAGTTAAGAATCAATTGATTCGTTGGCAATTTCTATGATTTGATGGACTAATTTCAACATAACCTATAAATTGAGTGACCCATTTTTTATAACCCAGTTGTCCTAATTTGAAGATACGAAAGATGTAAATGATTAATACCCAAAAAAACTATTTTAAAATAGCCCATCAATAAAATAGTTGAAGTTGTTAGTCCTCAAATTGGAGTAAAAGCTCTTGTAAATTAAACTTAAGTGGCTAGAATTCCTTATTATCATCATTATCCATTGTTTTTTAAACCTCCTGTAAATTAAACTTAACTGGATAGAATTCCTTATTATTATTGTCATTATCATCATCCATTGTTTTTTTAAATTCTTGTTATCATATGGTACACATCAAAAATTTATCTTGATAAATAAGTCTTAATGTATAGCAATAGCATCAATCTAAAACAAAAATTAATAGGTAAGGAATTACTACATGAGAACTCCTATACATTTAAGTTTGCCCCTAATTGTTATATCACCTCTTGTGCAGCCTTTCTTGATTTGAAATAATTTATAAGAATTACAAGACTTAATAATAAGTTTGTCTTCAATGAAATAACTTTGAAGCAACATAGGAGATTTGAATATGCCGGACAAATTTGATACTATCAAAATGCTAAGGGACTACTACGAAAAGACACTTTTGAGTATTAATTTTAATCATTCGTATTTTGTCACGCAAGGTCAACGAGGTGCGGCGCTGAGTTGACTAGAGTGGAGAATATGTTATAAAAGGTAAATTGCGCTTAGATGTCAGATAGTTTCCCACTTGTTGCACTTAAACACCATAAATTATCTTTTTTGCAAAAACAATATCATAAAGTTTTCAAAATTCGCATATTGCTGCAATAGATCACACAAATGTGGAAATTTTTAGCCGAATGTTCCTATATGATACTTACGCACTATGTTTAGAGCTTTCTAAACGTTAATATTTGTTAAATTTTTTATTAGAAATATCATAACTTTATTTTAAAGTTGAATTAATATACATTTGAAAAAAAAAGTTAGTTAATTTAATAGCAAATTTAACAAATTTTATTAGTTAAAATGATCTAAAAATAGCATGTACATATTATTGAGAAACATTTTCGTGAAACTTTTCGCGTTTGTACGATCGATGATGGTAGTGTACAAATTTGAACACTTTATGGTATTTTTTACCAAAATATAACTTGTGCTACCTAAGTGTAACAAGGGGGAATTATAAGTTATTTAAGTGCGATTTACCCTATTATAAATCGAATTCACAAATTTTTTATAAATATTTTTATTTGATGCTCTTTCGATCTAAAGATCAGTTTCACGCGTAAAATTCTCTTCTGATCACCAAAAAAAATGAATTGTTCATATATTTTGGACGTGAGAAATAGAAATATACTTGAAGCGACTTTGGATTCAATATTAGATTTTTATGTTCTAGTTCTATTGTGTAAAATGTTCTAATTCTATTTAGATTTGTATGTATCTGTATATTTAGGTTATATATGATCAAAATCTACTTTTAATATTTTGTGCAACTAGATTTTATATCATATCATATCATACTCCCTTTAAAAGTACGAGTTCGAGAAAATCTTTCTATTGTTAATATTACCCTTGGTTTTTTAAAAATATTACATTGTTATCCTAATCTATTTTAATTACCCTATCTTTTTTGAATTGGTAACCAAATAATTTATTTTATTCAAACATGTTATTGGATAAAATAGATACTTTTAATATAATTAGTTCGTAGATAAATCTAAAAAAATATGCTAGCCAGCACCTACAAGTTTTTAGACTTCGTAAAGAATATTCTCCAAGTATTTTAAATTGCAAAAATGACCCTACAAATTAAAAATTTTATTAAAGCATCTTAAAAATTATAAATTTTACTTATCTCAATTTAGTGAGAAACCTGAATAATATATACTAACTAGAAACTGCGAGTTTTTTAATTTTGGAGAAAATATCTTGTAAGTTTTAAAAATTGTAAAAACACCCCTAAAAATTCAAAATCTATAAAAAATACCTTAAAATTTTCAAACTTATAAACATACTAAAAACCTACAAATATCATACTCCCTTTAAAGTACGAGTTCAGAAAAAATCTTTCTATGATCAATATTACCCTTAGTTTTTTTAAATTATTATATTGTTATCCTAATCTATTCTAATTACCCTATCTTTTTTGAATTGGTAACCAAATAATTTATTTTATTCATAATGAGACTTAACATGTTATTGGATAAAATAGATATGTTTAATATAATTCAAATCCTTTAATTATTTCAGTTCGTAGAGAAATCTAGAAAAAATATGCTAACTAACACCTACAAGTTTTTAGACTTTGTAAAAAATATTCTCCGAGTATTTTAAATTGCAAAAACGGCCATACAAATTCAAAATTTTATTAAATTTTGAAAAATTATAAATTTTACTTATCTCAATTTAGTGAGAAACCTGAAAATATATATACTAACTAGAAACTGAGAGTTTTTAACTTTGGAGAAAATATCTTGTAAGTTTTAAAAATTACAAAACACAGGAGATGATGTTTGTTGAGATAGCCTGCTGACGTCGGTTTATTCTCCAAGTGGGAGATTTGTTGCATTTGGATGAAGAATCAAACCTCCGTAGGTGAGCTTTTGGGGGGAGGGGGGAGATGACGTAGGAGAGCTCAAGACGAGCTCGAGATCCAGAGTTGCAGGCGAGCACGAGGGTCTTCAGGCGAAGTCGACGTCGACTTGCAGGCGAAGGCGAGCTTCGAGCAAACGAGGCTCGAGCAGACGAGGGTCGAGCTTCGAGTTCAGACGAGGGTCAAGCTTCGAACGAGGTTTCGAGTTCGAACTGACGGGCTGATGAGGTTCGAACACGGGCTGACAAGGTTCGAACACGGGTGGTCGAGGTTCGAGCTTGAGGAATCCACGGGTGAGACGGCTCTGCGTAGGCGAGCTCCTCACAGGCTGTCGACAGCCTATCGACTACTCGGCTTAAGAGTATTAAATAGATATTATTCTCTTTGAACTATTAACATTGTAGCTACAATGTTTGTATTGAGAAATCTCCGTTTTGAGATATGCTCTTGTGTTGTAATTGTTTGTTGGAAATTTGCAGTAAAAAGACAATGAAAGAAAAATTGATTTGTATTCTCTCAAAATCGATTACAATTTGGATTCCGATTACAAAAGAGAGGAGAATGAATTTGATTCTCCCCTTTGTTTAATTCTGGGTTCTTCACGGTGGCGATGGAGTGCCTCCCTCGAATGTTCGCGTCAAGTTTGCTCTCCGTTGACGATCCGAACGTTTTGATTCACTGGAACGTGGTCTTCTCCTCACGATTTGACGTTGTGGAGAGCTTGCGTGGCAAGTTTGAAAATAACCCTTAACGAGTTAATAACTCAGAGCGAGTTTTAGAAGAACTTGCAGAGCAAGTTTTGAACTCTGATCGAGTTGATCACTCTGAACGGAGGTGATAACTCTGAACGAGTTTGAAACTCTATGGAAGAGTTGATTTAACCGAAAGTCGGTTATAAGCCAAGGATGAAGAAGCTCCTATTGCCGATCTCTAAAATCCCAGCCGAAGGATGAAGGCTCTTCTTTGCTGCCAAGCTTCAGATCCAAAAAGCCAGCCTCCGATCAACCAAGCCCGCTCTTGACCGAATCTCCCTCCGTTGATGAGATAAAATCCGATCCCTTAACTCAATTGAGTTTCTCATATTTATAAGGGATTAAGGGTGGTAACTGCCCCCTTAATCCGCTCCTAAGTGGGGCGGAAATCCCTTAAATCGTGGGGAAAAACAGTTCCTGGAACTGTTCAGTTCGTGTTTGAATAAGTCAAACGCCTAAATTGGCATTCTGGACCTTAACTCTGCGTCTTAGAGATGAGACACAGAGTTGGGCGCTCGCTGGGAGTTGGAACGCACAGGTCGCTTGCGTTTCGGACCTTAACTTTGCGTCGTGGAGATGAGACGCAGAGTTGGGCGCTCACTGGGAGTTGAAACGCACAGGTCGTGCTGTTTTAGAGATGAACTCTACGTTTTAGGCTGAAAACACAGAGTTGGGCCTGTTTTAGGCTGAGAACGCACAGGTGGGTCGTAACTCTGCGTTTTGATGTTATATCACGAGGATAACCTCTGCGTTTTGAGGTTATAACGTTGGTTCGACCTGTGCGTTTTGACTCTGTAATGCAGAGGCGAACCTTAGGTGGGCTTAGCGAGCTTCAGGCTAAGTTCAATGTTCTGACGAAGTCTGGTCTTGCAGACGGACTTCAGAACATAACTTGCTGCGAAGAACAGGTCATAACTTTCAAACCGTAAGTCGAAATTGGACGAATTATATATGAAAATTGGTTATCTCGACGAGATGGAGCCATCCAAACCAAGCCAAAGGCTTTGGTTTGCTTCCTCCGTTTCGCCAAATTCCTTACGGTTTGAGAGATATATACGTTTTAATATGAAGAGACCGTCAATTTGTACTCTCTTTTGCTAGAGCGTTGCAAAGATCGTCACCTTGTAACATTCGTCTTGGCTCCTTAAAAATATGAGAGTCATCAGATTGTAACTCCCAATGTTGATTGTGAAAACTGTTGAATTAGAGCTTTCATCAGTTGTCGTGAAGGTCGTCAGATTGTAACCTTTAACTGTTTGCGTCGAAAATTAATGTATTCATTACGGTATTCATTACAACTTCGGTCGTTACAATAAAAACAAAAAGATAATCTTTTTATAAGATCTTTACACAATGAAAACAAAAGTTACAACTCTCGCCAAAACAAACGCAGAGAGATCGTTTATCGGTCTTCTGCTTGCGTGGGTGTCTTTGCCTGTGTCGGGGTTTATCCGTGGACCACCTTAGATCTAGATCCGGTTGATGAAAAATTCGGCAGAGCTTCGTCTTCGCCGAGGAAGTATTTGATTTGAAGCGCTGAGATCGACCAAGCGAAATCAGGGCTCTTCTCGAGATTAAGACCAAGCCTAATCTCAAGGGACGGACGGGAACGGGCGTCGGATCTCTCGAACTCTCCTTCTTTATGCCGAAGAACTCGTCAAGATCTGTCAACCCTCGCTGAAATTCGTGCTCCTTTGACTCCACAATCCGGCAGCACCTTCTCGTCTTTATAATCAATCGCCCCCGCTGAAAGGAGGCCCTAGGCTTGTATTTATAGGGTTTCGGAAGCGGTTATTTGGATGAGAACAAGTGATTTGGCTCTATCTTCAGTTAACAACAGCCTAACCACGTTTGGGGATGATATCAGGTCAGTTAGAAGCCTCTGGAACTGAAGAATCCCGAGAAAACCGTTAAAAAACCGAACATGGGTTGAAGTAGCGCGCGGGGGCAAGTCTGACCCGCGCTTGCGCGGGTCGGGTCGGATGGATCCGACCCGGCCCGCGCCGCCGCGGGTCGGACTTGGCCGACCCGCGCGGGCGCGGGTCGACGCGGTCCGACCCGCGCGGACGCGGTGTTTCGAATTTTTACTGAGCTCTGGTGTTTTCTTGTCTTTCCGGGACTTGTATTTTCTACCGTTTTGCGTAATTGATCGTCTTGTTGACTTATACGCTTCGTTGCGGAATTGACCATCGAACGCGTGTTGATTGACGCACACGTGTTGATTGACGCACGCATGTTGATTGACGCGTGCAAGCTGATTAATGTGCGCGTGTTGATCGACATGCACGAATTGATTGTCACGCGCGTGTTGATCGACGCGCATGAACTGATTGACGCGCGCATGTTGATTGACGCATGCGAGCTGATTGGCGCGCGCGAGCTGACTGTCGAGCGTGTAGGTCACTTGATTCGCTGTTTTGCTTCAGGCGCTTGTCGGCGTCAGATAATCCTCTTAGACTCGGATAACGATGTTCGTCGTCTTCTCTCTGTCTCAAGCTGTGTACGGACACATATAGGCATTTTTAGACGCCTACATCAACGATCTATGTGAAAGTCCTCAAATTGTAGCCTTATGGAAGTCGTCAGATTGTAACTTCCGTCATCAGTGTTTGATGGGGATCAGCTATCTGTTGTGATTTTTAGACAGCCTACAGTAATTTCTTGTTGATTAATAAAAAATTAATTGTGTGGCTCCCGAGGACGTAGGCAGTTGCCGAACCTTATTAAATCTTGGTGTATTTTTCTCTATACTGCGATTCTGCTGTCTTAGGGGTTTCAGCGTAAATTCCCAACAATATCATCAGTGACAAGTGCACAATTAGATATTTGTTACTTAATAATACTATGCACAGGGGGTAAGAACAGGGATCAAACTCTAATCATATCACCAGATATAGCAGCGAAGTCTTCGTGTAGGTGAAAAAAAAAGAAAAAAACATACAAGAAGACAGAGCATTACATTTCTGAATCCAGCATAGACATCACACAAATGAGCATAAATCTGATACCTTACACATAAGCTAAATAGAGAAAACTGACATCAATCAACCACATAAGGAATTTCATTTCACATGAAACTACAGGGATGAAATTAAAGAGAGATGATTACGAACAAACTTTATATTCTCTTTTGTATCGTTTTAGCATATTTTTAAACAGTTAAAACCAAAACCAAAACAAATTAGGAATCCTAATAACCTTATGTTACCAAAATAGATTAAGAATCCTACTAACCTCATGTTACTAAAATCGATTAGGAATCCTAATAACCTCATGTTACCAAAATAGATTAGGAATACTGCTATCCAACACATATATGAAAACCTAAGATTAAATCTCTCATCAAAATTGGCTCCAAATTTATTAACCTAATTGGGTTACATAGAGAATGTGCTTGTGATTGACTCGTGCAGTGGAACGATAGATAGAAGAGTGTAGTTGGCAACCATTTAAAACAGGGCCAATATTAACCCAAACTTAATCATGATTTTTTTTATTTTTATTTTTAGCTTGGGGAAAACCGTGCCATAACCGTCCCAAATTTTCTGGAGGCCATATTTGGCTTTTAAACCAGCTTAGTTTGTTCGGAGCGTGGTTAGGATTATCCTGATCCTTGCCCAGTTTCTTATTCGCTTGAGCCCACATTGATGAGGTCGAGCGCCCCCCGAGTCCACGTTGTTGACGTGAGGTCTTATAACAAAAGCTTATCCCAAATATACGGTAAGAAATCAGTATATATAAATAAAAAGATAAGAGCTAGTAGATCCAACGGCATAACCGCATCATATGCTGTTCTACGGCAATAATGTGCAAAAAAAATTGTTTCATCTCTCATCTCTTATTCCAAGCATCTTGCTTCATTCACATGCGCTAATAATTCGAACCGATGGAAAAAAAAAGCAACAACTAAATGCCATTTATACGCATATAAAATCTATGACAGGTAAATGGGGGATGCACTTGTTCAGAATGGATCAATTCGTACTCTAAAAACGTCTTCGATTCATTCCCTCTCTCCGGCTACCATGTCTAATTGCTAACAATTTTTTTATTTTATTTTAAATATAGTCCAAGTTTCATGAACATACAGAAAGCATATAAAGAATTTCCTGAAATTTTCCTAATTTACGGCAAAATTAATCACAGTGAATAACGGCAGTTTTGCGCGTTCAGTGTCTCCACCCTCACACCACGCTCCCCTCCTCTGTCCATACGATCATCTACTCACTATTCTATAAAAGAAATAACGTCGCACCCACGACTAAACTCCTCTGTCCATACGATCATCTACTCACTATTCTATAAAAGAAATAACGTCGCACCCACGACTAAACCCGCTCTCTGGCTCGTGGGCCCAGACGAGGCCGTGGTACGTCCACCCAAAGAATGCGACGCTGCACATGGAAAAAATGGCGCGAAATAAAGTCTAATCTCCCGCTACTTCCCTCCGACACCCGCAAATTTCTCTCCCTCTAAAACCCCCCCTCTCCTCTTCATTCCGCTTTCTCTCTCTGGAACCCCTCCCGCTTTCCCTCTCCAGAACCCTCGAAA